CCCCCCCCCCCCCCTGCTTCTTATTGTTCTCCTTGACTTCTATTCTGTAAACCCCTTAGGCGAGGGATCCAGTTTCTTGTGTATGGATGTTTTTATATACAAACAGAACTGAACTTTCAGCATTGAGCAAACATTGGTGAATATCATTTGCAATGAAAGTCTAAGTTGATGTCTAATCAGTTTTGTTATTGCAAACTCAGGCAATCTGAGTTAGTTTTCAGGAAATAGGAAATATAACCAACTAGTGATTAGTGACTGAGGGAAAGCAGCTGCAACACAAATAAGTCAAAATAATAGAAAATTTCTTAATTATTTCAAGTTTTTTAAGTATGAGAGGAAGGCCCCCAAAATCCAGAATTTATGTATAAAATGTGTATTTATTCTCACATGTCTAAACTTCAGTTACCTTCAAAATACTCTCCATTTGAGGCAATACACCTATTGAGATACTTTTTCCACTGCTCAAAACTGTTTTTGAATTTATCAATTTTAGTGCTTCTGCCACTTTTTGTTTCACCTCTTGTTTCACCTCTTGCACATTGGCAAAATGTTTCATTTGAAGACTTTTTCATCCAGGGAAGCAAACAAAAGTCACTCAGGGAGAATGGGGTTAATAGGGAGTGTGGAGCACAGGAGTCACGCTGGTTTTGGTCAAAAACTGCTGAACACTCAGCACGCTGTGGAGAGGTGCGCTTGTAAATCACCCTCATGAAATGGGCAAACATGTTGAAAGAATCTCCAAAAAAAATTCACTGAAGCCAAACCCAGCCTCTCACAAAAATACTAGGTGATACACTGATGCTAATGGGTTCCTAGAACATTTTCCTAGTGGGGGAAGCCTGTGCTACAAGGGGTCCACCCTCCAAAAGATAATTCCATGTTTTTTTTGGCTCCTCCCTCATATGTGACTTCTTGCCAAATTATCTTATAAATTGACTTAAGTTATTTAATCCTTTTATACATGATAATGACTGAAAGGTGGTAAGGGAAGGCTAGACATAGTTCAAAATAAACTGAGTGGCAGGAAGCCAAAGGTTTTATGCAATCCACAGAATGAATCCTTTATAAGGAAGTAGTGAAGAATTCACTGTACTTGCATATAGAAGTAAGCAAATTCATTGAAATGTTCACATGGTGTGTTTGTATGTGATTTAGTATGTTTGAGATGGGCAGATATGGTATTCTACTATTACCATTCTCCCAGGATATTGTCTAGTCATTGTAATTTTTGTTTCTTTTTTGGAATTATCATCTTTCCTATGGTTGAAGGGAGAAAATATTTTAATTTGGGGTCTGCAAGCATCTTCTGAATATTGATCTTTATATTTTATATAACTGGCTTAATTTTAATGAGATTTTCTTTCTGTGAATTAAGTTTATATGTGACTTCATTAGAGTTGAACATTCTGATGAGCTGAGATTTAAATGGAATAAAACTTTTTCCACTGTCACTAGATGACAAGATTACCACATAGAACTAGGTTTATACCTTCTTAAGATACAGTTCTTTATTTAGCTCTCCTCAGTCCATGACAGTATCGTCTATAATATTGGGCCCCACATTTAGAAATTCAATGTTAAGGGCATGTATATTCATTCCCTGATTGTGATGGCAGTTTGTGATAAGGTGGATATGTAGAATTTTTATAGACCATGTAAAAATACTGGCTTGAGGTTAGTCCAAAAACTGGTGTTGGAACAGATATTTCTTAGATTGGTGTGTGCTATTTAAATGTATTTAAAATGCTAATATGGGGGGTTCAGAGTTCAGAAACTACCTATGGGGCACCTGAGACCCAATCCCCACCAATGCACAGAATGCCCATGTAATGAACACACACATGTATCCCCAAATCTAAAATTACAATAAAATGCTAATATTTATTCCGGTATAAGATTGTCTTATTCCCAAATTAATTTAAGCTATGTAATTGCCAACTACTTTTACTATTATATTTTTATGCATAAATAATTCAATTATTTAGAAACTTCGACCTAATTTTTTAAAAGAAATGCTAATTATAATGAGATGGCCTGCTTTGCCCCATAGCTGAGAGTAGTAACTGAGTAGACCCTATCCTCGATGTTAATAAATACATAATTTATTTACACTTTAGATGTTCTTTGCTTTTTAATGAATTGTGCAGAAAAGCCAATGCTTTTTGAAGTGAGTTTCTGTTCTGCCATATTGAATGTAAATATGGATATGTGTTTTTCAGGATTGGGACAGCTGCACTGGCGGTTCAGG